AGTTGACGTTAATGGGCAAGGAAGCGTTAAGGTCCTAACTCCAGACCCTTTAGTCTATGGCCCGGTCTCTGATGCAAATGCATGGCGCATACCGGCTAGTATTGATTTGCAGTAATAGCCTTGTGATACTCTTATGCTTTGAGGGCACTTCGAGATTAATATATACTTTCAGGTCAAAGAATTATCTATCAAATTATTGTACTCTTGGCAACGATCAATGCGACATGTTGAAAAATTCAAGGAGGTACACATTTGAATGAAAATATTTCTTACTACATATGCCCACTGGTTTTAAAAATAATATCTTGTTCTGATGAACACTTGGAATCCCTTTTAATCAGGTTTGCTCACTACTCTTTATCAATAGCTACTTGTTCAGGTGTATGATTCCTTGAGAGAACATAACTTAATAACGGCTGATCCGGTCATACCGGAAGAGGAAATCATGGTTGTCCAATGTAAGTTTGCCTTTTTTTTCAAAGTGTATACTTAAGCTAAACTAACTCTTCGTTCTCTAGCCCTTTGTTCCCTATTTTTCAATTCTTAAGTAGATCAGTGAGAGATTCGTTTGTATAGTTATTGTTCTGAAATTGCTGGTGGGAATTGTGTTCGCCCAAGATTTCAGTTTTTCTCCCGTAGTCGAAGGCCCTCTGAATTACCGCTAGAGCATAGCGTGCTCAGTTAAAACTTTAGTAAGCGAAGCGGTCTACTTAGTGAGTTACGTTTTACCTACATACTTTCCAACATACTGCCATAGCACAGCGCTTTGCCTCGATGGTGGATTTCAGAGCATTTGACAACGACTAAAAGGTCGAAATCTTGGACGAAGCTACCCAGCAACCGTGTCGTTCAGAGCAGGTCCAGCCATTGGGAAGAACTGCGAAACAAGGCCTCCTGTCAGCACTTCCTCCTCTAGTACGACGCACCCTTCCTATTCCCGAACATATGTGTGTACGTCGTATTATAATAAAATTTTCCTACAACTTCCTCCCTACTACCTTTCCGGAGTTTTTTTTCTCCATTTTTTCATCAAAAGCTGTCGCAGCGGCAAGAGGAGGGGAAAGAGGGTAAAAATGGAATGATCTACCGGTCAGCAACACCAAAAACCTCATCTCTCTCAACCGAAAAAACACCATCCGACCACTTTCCTCCAGCGACCAAATACAACCGCTCTCGCTGGGGATCACCAGAGTACGAGTGCTCTGCTAAAGTTACTCTGGAGTCTGGAGTCGTTGTGCAAGTCCACTCATTGGCCTCTGAGGTAATGCGCAGCACTCTTCGCCATGCATTATAATATTAGGTTGTCCGAAAGTTCCCGAGCGCCCGGTAATCCTGTCGGAAGTCAGAGTTTTGTGGCACGCTATTTGTACTTCACTGCTGATTAAAAACTCATTCTGCCTTGCTTCTCAGTAGCACATCCTGTAGAGAATTTCTTGCGCTATCTGATGGTATAATTGCCGTTTCACCATTGCTTGATAAACCCCTTTTTTCAAGATTTTTCAAGCATGTGAAAAGAGCACTTCGGACGATTTTTTTCTTCGACTATAAATTGGGGCAATCCGCAATCGAAACAGCTCAACAAATTAACCAGGTGTGGGGCCCAATAGTGCTAGAGAAAGCACTGTGCGGCAATGGCTCAACAAATTTCGTTCTGGAGATTTTAGCCTGAAGATTGAATGACCTCATAGCGGTCGACCTAAAGCAATATCTGACGAGGATTTTAGGGGATTTTGGAGGCTGACCCATCCCAAACAGTTCGAGAGATAGCAGAAGAGCTAGGCCTTGGCAAATCCACTGTTGCAGATGGTCTGGAACGCATTGGGAAGGTGAAAAAACTCGACAATTGGGTGCCCCACAATCGGAGTGACCGGCAGGAATCGGCACGTCTCGAGGTTCCTTCTGCATTGCTTTTGCGCAGCAGAACGACTCCTTGTTTTTGGACCGAATTGTCACCTGTGATGAAAAATGGATCATGTATGATAACAGGAGACGTTCCGGACAGTGGTTGGATTTCGACGAACCACCGAGGTAATTTTCAAAGCCGAACCCTCACGAAAAAAGATTCTGGTCACGGCTTGGTGGTCATCGGCTGGTGTGATCCACTATAACTTTTTATCACCAGGCCAAACCATCACAGCAGAACCCTACTGTGAAGAAATCGACGAATTGTACCGAAAATTTTGTCAGATGCAGCCAACACTTATCAAAAGAAAGGGTCCGATTCCTTTGCATGACAACGCCCGCCCACACGTTTCACAAATCACTATCCATGAACGAATTGGGGGTTGAAGTTCTACCTCAACCGCCATATTCTTCAGACCTTTCGCCAACCGACTATCACCTTTTCTAACATTTTCAGAACTCCCTTGCTGGAAAATACTTGCTGGATCAGACTTCATCAATCAGGACCAGGCAAAAAAGCCTTCGTGGATTTCGTGAATTTTCGACCACCCAGTTTTTTACTTTGATGGGATTTCTCGACTGCTCACATTGGCAAAAGTGTGCTGATTCGAATGGTGCCTATTTCGATAAATCCGATGAGTATTAAAAAGTTACGATCGTTTAAAGTGAAACACCCAAAACGCTGAGAACTTTCCGGACAACCTAATATACATGATTACTGGTTAAGCGCCTCACCATCCCCTACCACTGGTTTCACATTAATATTTTATTAATTTACATTTCCATCGCAACTCGAGTAGTCATGTGACTGCCGTGCTCCTAATTATTGTAATGCTTGCGAATTCTTATTGGTGAACTAGCGAGTCTGTTGAGTTAAAATATAAAGCAAATAGATTTTCAAAGAAAGAAAAGGTTTATTTTAGTGACGCACACAGCCAAAATTAGGCAGTTTCGAAGACGAAGAGAAGGCACGATTACTCAAAGAGCTGCTCAATAGTACGAATCCGGACGATCTACAAGCAGCGAATCGTCTTATCCAATCTCTAGTAAAAAGTGTATGTACGTTTATGTTCTTGAGGGCCTACCTTTTAGGTTTCTTAGGATCTCCTCGCCAAGATCGAAACCGTAGTCCGCGCTCGTAGTGTGGGCGGAAACAGAGAACCATTGTGCACTCCTCAATGGTGCGTCTCCCTCCTTTTTTACCGCTTTTGGAATGGAGGGGTCTCACTATGTGAAATTGCACAGGGACGTTTCTTCTTTCGCTCAATTTTTCCTGCTCAAGGCATGCCGGTGAGCAGATCTGAAGCGTGCCAAACAAGATACGTGGGTGCCAATTGCCGGCCCGCCCTGCCAGCTTTTTGATTTGCTCTGGATTTTAGTGTAGCTGATGGGGATCATGAGGCGTGTAGTGCCCTCCCTTTCAGGGCACATAAGTGGTGGGGGATTTTAGTCCAGTCTATACGACCCTCCCCCTCCCCCTTTCTTTGGGGGTTCGTACGACCCCCGTCCGGCCCTTTGTCCCAACTCATCGAATCAGGAGGGGGGGGGGGGGGGGAGGGGTAAATAGCACATGTGAAACAGGAAAAGCCGCGAGACAATACGACCCCCCCCCCTTCTACCAATTTTCAGATTTTCCCCAACTTCCTGCCACTTTTTCCAAAATTTCCCGAAAAGTTCCCCACTCGCGGAGGGGGGAGGGGTATATAGTACGCATGAAACAGGAAAATCACAAAAGTCAACCACCGCTCCTACAGTAAAATACGTTCCCCCCGTCCCCTTTTACAACGTCCGTCAAGCGAGAAAAATCAACTATCAAAATAAATTTTTCCCAGCCCATATAGGCCCCCCTCTCCTGGCGACCAATTACGACCCCCCCCCCAAGAGTTCGCATCGTTTGTGGGCGCAGAAGAGCGCTCGCCGTCGCGTCGTGCGGTTCCTCTACTTCCCACCCCCCCCCCCTCTTCCCCTTCTTTCGCCTCTGGTATCCTGTTGAAAGAATCAACTCAGAAAACCAAACTAATTACGGTACCTTTGTGAAGTAACACAAGTATCCCTATATACTTCACAGTACTTTACACAATTGCTTTTCAGGAAGATCAGAAGATTGAACGACGACATAAAAGGGCCGATGAGCTCGATCATGCACGACAACTGTGTAAACGTCTGGAAGAGGCGATGATGGAAAAGACCGCTGAATGCCTCGGAATAACGCCAGATGTCATTTATACTGAGGCGAAAATGAAGGTATGTAATAAATAAGGCTAGGTAAAAACTAGGATTCTCAAGGAAATCACATTTTGATAGTTTCCCGCGAATAGGTGTTTTCTGCTCCAATGAAAAGTGATCTATATAAACTGTCATAGTCAAAATTCTTCGGATTGTCGCTTCTTGCGACCTAGGCACAGTTGCTGTAACTCATAATAGTTTTTTGCGTGTGTGGCTTACAAGCTGTTAGGTGGAACTTATTAAGGCAACTTGAAACGGAGTTCACACTTTACGACTCGAGCGATTGAGCAGCGCGACTGCGACTAAACGCGCTCCACCGCTAACCGTTGGACAGCTGCCGCCAGAAAAAAAAAGTGTCTTAACTGTGAGTTGGTTACTATTCACGGCTGTCCAACTAATAGCGGTGAAGCGTGGTCTGTGAGTTGGCTCGGGAGGCG